TCAAATAAAATTAAAATACTCATTGGAAAAATTGGCTACCCACACACCCAACATCATGGCTGAGCTACTGCAGTTGTCAGTTTACGTATAAAAGAAAACAACCAACATTTTGTATGAATTTCAAAGATAATGAACTATTTGTCTCTTGTTGGTAGCTAATGTAAATATCAGAGCAAATAGCATTTTGGTTCCAATAAAAACATAGAACTTTTCAAAATGCTCATACATAAATCCTGACATCAAAATGTACGTATCTTAAGATGTTGGAGCATGAGCACCAAATGATGTGCTTAATACATTTGTTCTTTCTTAAAGAGATGAGACATAATCGTATGCAATCATCTCGTAGCTAGGAATTATATTAAGAACTCTGAACTATAAGTACTAAATCAAACTAAATAGTCTCTTATCCTATTTTTCTCTCTCATACATGTCATTACTTCCTGAAGTTCTCATTATAACTACATAATTCTACCCCTCATAACCCATAGGTTTTCTTCAGAAAAGGAAGATAGCTTCCCCCACTCCTTTTTCCCTCAGAACAACAGTTTTCTCCCCACAAATGCTCATGGGGTAAGACCCACAGACATAATTTCAATGAACAATAATACCTTACTGGGTAAAAGAACTAGCTTTATTGCTGCCTTACTTTTTGCAAATAGTTATTCTGTCTTTAAAATTTGCTATTGTTATCCCTTGAGAAAAGACAACTTGTTCTAAGAGAAATGTTAATGGGAAAATATGAGCTACATTGTGATGTTAAATACTATTTTTCCAAAGCTAAAAAACCACAGTTCTTCTTCATTCGGTCCTAAAGAAGACATAACATCGCTGGCTAATGGGCTGTCACCAAATGACCGTTATTGAATGAATAATAAAGGAATAATAGCAATGTGATTTCCACTTACATCAACCACAAAAATCTTCTGGGAATCATCCAAAAACTGCACTTTTAAATGTAGCATTCTCAGCGAGGCTGTTGGGCTGCAAGCAGGCTCAGAGTGCTGTGGGTGCTTTCTCCAGGAATTTCACTCGCAGCTGGATGTGGTGCACTCGAGTCCCCCCACCCCCAGCCAGGCATCCCCACTCTCAGCGGGGCACACTTCCGTTTGCTTGAAGTAATGCGCACCCAAGGGCGTTTGTGCTGCCGAGTGCAGGGGATCAATAACATCTGGGCAGACTCCTGTTTGGTCAATATCAAATCCACCTGGACTTCCTCTAGCCCTCTTAAACTCAGTTCCTTTCTTCGAAGAAAAATATTTAAAAAGCAAGCATTTGCAGTCCCTGGGGATTTTCTTTATTTCACAAGGGCACAATTTGAAAACCCTAGATGAAGCTTTAACACACTGAGAAGAGCCATTCCCAAAAGTAAAAGGATTAGAGTTAATTTCAAATTATACTAGAAATTTCATGGCTGAATTAGGAAGCATATATACATATATATATAATTATATATGTAATATATAATTGCATATTATAAACATATGTAATATAAAATTATATATATATAATTTTAGTTATCTGAATTTACGTGATTTAGAAATAAAAACTATATAAAAATGTATATGGAAAACTTCACTTCCACTCCTGTTCCCTCTTTTCTGTGTCCCCAGTACATCCCTATTGGTAACCAATTTTTTTTCTTTCTATTCCCATAGAATTTATGTGCTTATATCTATAAAGAAATGAAACAAGGAATACAACTGAGGTTGAACCCCATCTCAGCTGAACAAGAATAACATTCATGTATTCTTGGATAAATGAACTAATTAAGATAAAGAACATTCTAATAAAACAATTTTTAATCATCAAAGAATTATATTAATATCATTTTCATTGTATACCAATAACTATGATATCATTTGTTCTGGACTGAGAAAACACTTAAAGCAAGAACTAAAAAACTTACTTCCATGTATATTTTTTTGTTGACTAGAAGATAATGGGGTGAGTGATTAAAAGATGTCAGGCACAATAGATTACATTAGATTATATCATGGTAGGATTCTTGGCTGAAAGTGGTGTGAAAATACAGAAGGAGAAAAGCCAATTTAAAATGTTCAACTCCTAAAGAACTAGCTTGTTTATTTTTATAAATGAATAAAGGGTATGCAATTGTTATGATATTTAAATTGTGCTGGATATGTTTAACATAGTGATGTAACAGTTTTTATTTTAAAATACCAGTATTTACATGACACCAGCAAATACATACTTTGTCAACTATTTAACTTCTCATGAAAAATTTTAGACGTCAACTTAGATGGCTGAGGGGATACATGATTTTTCAAAATACTTGTAGGGAGCGCATAAGCAGAATATTTTGTGGACTACTGCTTAAAAACACTATTTCTCCAAGTACAGTTGAGGGACAACTTACAGAATCAGCTGGGAAGGGTGGCCAACATTTTAAAAATGCAGATTCCTGGGCCCCATCCCCAAATCGGGTTATAAGGTTTGGAGTGGACCCCAAATAAATCAGTTTTCAACATGCACCCCAGTTGACTCTCATGCAATCCATTTAGGAAGCACAACTTAAAAAAATAAAAACTAGCATTTTATAGCATTGTAGCCATGGCTGAAGAGGGAAAAAAAACCTCACACACATTTCTGAACTGAGGATAGAACTGAAATAAAAGCTAATCAGGAGCCAGAGCTCACAAAATAGCAGCACCCTTGGAGGAGCCTAGAAATAGGAAAAGGTCACCGGGGAAGGAAGGCACTTTCCTCAGAATTCCTAGCACGGTCAAAGAACAGAACGGAAATGGAAGGGCTTAGGCAGGCTAAGCCCACTGCGGGCTCTCCACTGTGGTTGCACTTTTGGAGAAAACAGAAGAAAGCCCTTTTCCATCTTGAACCAGCCTGAGGAAAGCTCCTGTTTAGGAGGGTCGACCGTCACACCAAAATAAAACATGCGCTAACAGAAGCTGATTGCAAAGCAGGTGACAGAGCACATTTTGGGAAGCACTACTGGAGGGGGGCAGAGACATACTTGCCATGAAAATGCCCTTGGGACCCTCTGTCAACACTGTTGGGATGGTTGAGGCATCTTTTCTGTTATGGTCCCACCAGTAGCCTTAAATGTGGTCTCGGAGCACTTGCCTTCTGCCTGCTCACTGGGTGGGGCGTGCCAGCATCTGCTCTCATTTACTAGGATCACAGAAGAACTGCAACTTCCTGGGGAGCAGTTTCACTCCATAGGCATCGCTTCATACTCCTCACTGTCAATGCTAAAAAAGCCCCGCTCCCTCTGGGACAAGCAAAGTGCCGTGGTTGGCTTGGAGACACCCTGTGCCCTTGGCGTGCAGCTTGGGGTTTCGCTGATGGTGTCAGGTTCAATGCAGATATTCATAAAATCCTCTTTGTTTGTTGTGTCAAGTTGATTGTTCCGTGTTGTGATGAACAGTTCAACAATGGACAGCTGCACATCTTTCCAGACCTCTGGGCTCACCTCTTGGGAAAGGGCATCCTGTGGTTGTGCCCAGTAGGATGCAAGCATTTGTAATATTCTCCTCTATAAAGAAGGTCTTTGGACAGGGGTGTCCTCTGTTTCACGGGGAGATCTCTCTGTAGATCCCGTGTATGAGATAGAGGCTTAATGAGTCTGAGGCCACTCCATAAGACTGCTGAAAAAGTGGGCTACTTTGATTTTTAGAGGCCCAAAATACGAATATTTGCTAGCTTTGATGCTAGTATCTCTGAAGGATTCCCGTTGAAGGCTGATCGTTGCAAACCCAGGCTGTTCCTTTTCACCCTTGATCTGCAAGACATCAAGTGGAACTGTCCTTTCACAATGGCAAGTGTAGCATCAGTAATATGTTGGACTTTGTTTCCACTTTTGGCAAAGAGGGTATGACTCAAACTACTGGTCTCTCCCAGTGGGATAAATCCAACGGGAATCTTACTGAAGGCAGCTTCATCTATGCATCCAAGAACTCCAGTAACAACCTCCTGCAGTGTCCCATCTCCTCCTGCAGCAATGATCACATCTGTGTTTTCCATCAGTTCCAGGAGTTTCTTGGCTTGTCCGTCACAATCTATCTTAACAATAGTCACATCCATGCCAGATAAATATAAAATTAGGGCAGCATTTTTTTTTTTTTCAAATAGAGTCCTGGCTTTGCCTTTGCAAGCTGCGGGATTGAAAAAAACAGTTGCCTTCTTCACTTGTGCATTGGGAAGAATGTGTTGATTGCCAAACACCTGAGCTTCTTGACCAGCTGCTCTCCTTAGTAGGTTTTCACAGTGTTTTCCATAGAGCCAATGGTCTCTCCAGGTCAACAGGCAGAGCCCAGGTACAGTTTTCTTCCAATGATTTTGCAGTGTTTTGAAGAACACTGTCATCTTCCAGAGTTTTGCACAGCTGATCCCGCTTGGTAACTTAACTTTATTCGCGTTTTGTTGTAGTTGTTCAGCCTTCAGTGTTTTCTTATGCAAATTTTATAGAAGCAAATACAAATGTTTATATCCTATGTAACTAGCACACTATTATTACACTGTTTTGTGCATTCTTTTTCCTCATATATCATGGAGATCCCCCTTTACCTGTGCATGGAGAACTTCCTCATTTCTTTTCACAGATGCATAATTTTGTACTGTGTAGATGAACCAAAGTTCACTCAACCAGTCTGAAATTAATATTTCAGCCTCAAAAAGACTGAAATGAGTATCTTCATACATATGTCAATTTATATGTGCGCAGGTATATCTGTAGGACAGATTTCCAAAAGTACAGTTGCTGGGCAAAGATAATGAATTGGTCGTCATGATAGCTATGTCTAGGTTTCCTTCCATAAGGGTTATTATGGGTTGAATTGTGACCCATAAAATTCTTATGCTGAAGTCCTAAGCCCTAGTAACTCAGAACGTGGCTGCATTTGGAGATAGGGTCTTTAAAGAAGTAATTAAGTTGAAATAAGGTCATTAGGGTAGGTCGTAATCCAATTTAACTGTTGTCCTTGTAAAAAGAGATTAGGACGCAGACACGTAAACAGGGAAGACTACGTGAAGACACATAGAGGAGACGTCCATCTATAAGCCACGGAGAAAGGCATCAGAAGAAACCAGTCTTGCCAACACCTTGATCTCAGACGTCTAGCCGGCAGAATGGTGAGAAAATAACTTTCTGTTGTTTAAGCTGCTCCGTCTGTGATATTTTGTTGTGGCAGCCCCTACCAAACTAATAAGGGTTGTACCAATTTGCAGTTCCATTAGTAATGTATGAGAGTGACTCTTTTCTCTACAGGCTTGACAATGGAGTGTGGTATTAAACTTCCAGATATTTGCCAAACTGATAGGTGGGAAAAAAATCCTGGTGTAGTTTTAAGTTCAAACTTTTCATATTATGAGAGAAGTCAAGTGGTGTCTTTTCATATGTTTAAAGGCCATTGCATTTTTTTTTTCTTTTGAGACGGAGTCTTGCTCTCTCTCCCAGACTGGAGTGCAAGGGCATGATCTTGGCTCACTGCAACCTCCACCTCCTGGGTTCAAGTGATTCTCCTGCCTCCACCTCCTGAGTAGCCGGGAATACACGTGTATGCCACAGCACCCGGCTAATGTTTTTCTATTTTTAGTAGAGACAGGGTTTCACCATTTTGGCCAGGCTGGTCTGGAACACCTGACCTCAGGTGATCCACCGTCCTCAGCCTCCCAAAGTTCTGAGATTACAGGCATGAGCCACCACACCTCGCCCCAGTGCCATTATATTTCTATTAATTTCTTTTTTGTGGATTTCTTTTCTTGTGAAAGATGTGTTCATTTACTTCAACATCCCCATTTTATTTTTCTTATTTAAAACATTTGTATAAAGTTTAAGGAGTAAAAGTGCAATTTTGTTATCTAGATATATATTGAATACTGGAGAAGTCTATGCTTTTATTGTGTCCATCACCCAAATAATGTACTGGTTAAGTAATTATAGTGGTTAAGTGACTTGTCACTATCCATCCCCTTCCCATCCTCTCACCTTTCTGACTGTCTAGTGTCTATCATTCCACCCTCTGTGTCTGTATGCACACATTATTGAGTTTATAAGTGAGAACATGTGGCATTTGACTTTCTGTTTCTGGGTTGTTTCACTTAAGATAGTGGCTTCCATTTCCATCCATGTTGCCGCAAGAGTCACATTTCATTCTATTTTGTGGCTGAATAGTACTCCACCGTGTATACATACCACATTTTCTTTATCCAATCATCTGTTGATGAACATTTAGGTTGATTCCATATCTTTGCTTTGTGAATAGTGCTGCCATAAACAGATGAGTGCAGGTATCTTTTTAAAATATAATGATTTCAATTCCTTGGGATAGATACTCAGTAGTGGGATTGCTGGATTGAAGGGTAGTTCTTTTTTTAGTTTTTTGAAAAATGTTCATACTGTTTTCCATAGTGGTTGTACTAGTTTACATTCCCTCCAACAGTGGACAAGCACTCCCTTTTCTCTGCATCCTCACTGACAACTATGTTTTTTGACTTTTTAATGATAGTTATTCTGATTACTGTAAGATGATATCTCACTGTGGTTTTAACGTGCATTTCTCTGATGATTAGTGTTGCTGAGCATTTTTTCATATGCTAGTTGGCCATTTATGTTTTCTTTTAGAAAATGTCTATTCACATCCTTTCCCCACTTTTTAATGTTTTTTTGGTGTGTGGAATTGTTTGAGTTCCTTGCAAATTCTAAATATTAATCCCCTGTTGGATGCATAGTTTGCAAATATTTTCTCCCATTCTGTAGGTTGTCTGTTCATGCTGACAATTGTTTCTTTTTAGGTCTCTCTTCAAAAATATTGGTTTATTGTCTTTTCTCAAGGATTTCTAGAAACTCTTTAAAAATTAGGGAAATTAGTATAGTCCTTTGGCTGTGATATGAGTTACAAATACTTTCCCTTTTTGTCCTTTGTCTTTGGACATTGCTTATGGTCTTATGAGGTGTGTGTGTGTGTGTGTGTGTGTGTGTGTGTGTGTGTGTGTTTGCCATGAGTTTTTCTTCTTTGTGTAGCACAATTTGTCAATCATTTTCTAAAATGGTCTCTGGATTTTGAGTCATAATTAGGAAGGCATTCACTTCAAAGCTTTTCTTAGTGCTTTTTTAAAAATTTAAATCTTTTATCTATTTGGATTTTATTCTGATGTGTGGTGTGAGGTATAGATTCCATTTAATCTTTTTTGAAATGGTTTCCCACTTGTCCTAATATTGATCAGAAAGTTTATTTCTACCTCCATTGATTTGAGAAGTTGCTTTTATCATATATTAAATTGTCTTATGCACTTGGGTCTATTTTGGGATTTTTATTCTCTTCCAGTTATGCACAAATATCACATTGTTTTAATTTGTGAGGCTCTAGAGTATGTTTTAATATCCAGTAAGACTGCTCCACATCCCGTTACTCTTTTTTTTACAGAATTTTCCTGACTACTCTTGTTTACTTATTTTTCTATATATGCTTATTCAGTTCCAGGAAATAAATGTTGGCATATTTGTTGAGATATGTTAAAATTATAAATTTGCTTAGTGATAACTGATATCTCCCTGATGGTGCCTATTTATGGGACATGCTGTGTATGTTTATCTGTTCAGGTGCACTTTTATGTCCTCCTCTGAAATGTTGCTGTATTTAATACACATTTTTATACATTCACAAAATCAAAGGGTATAGATAGTACAATAAACTCACATACACTCATTATTCAAAATTTTTATGTCAAAGCCCTAACACCCAGTACATCAAAACATGACTGTATTTGGAGGTAGGCTTTTTAAAAAGGCAATTATGTTAAAATGAGGCAATTAGGATGGGCTTTAATCTAATCTGGCTTGTCTTCTTGTAAGAAGAGGCTAGTAGGACAGAGAAACCTGTGCACAGAGGGAAGACCACTGAGGACTCAGCAAGAAGGCGGCCTTCCATAAACCAAAGAGAGAGTCTTCAGGAGAAACCAAACTTGCTGACATCTTGATCTCAGATTTCCAGCCTCCAAGACTGTGAGAAATAGATTTCTGTTGTTTAAGCCACCCAGGCTGTGATATTTTGTTACAGCACCTGGCTATAATTTAGATATGGTTTGTTTGCCCCTATGCAAACTGATGTTGAAATTTGATCCCCAACCTGGCAATATTGAGAGGTGGGGCCTACTGGGTTGTGTTTGGGTTTGGGGGGCAGATCCTTCATGAATGGGTTGGTGCTGTATTCGGAGTAATGGGTGCCTGTTGTCATGATACTGGATTAGTTCTTGTGGGAATGTGTTATTTCCAGAGAGAGCGGGTTGTTATAAAGCCAGGATGCCCTTCAGGATTTCCCCTCTCTTTGTATGTGCCCACTCCCCCTTTGACCTTCTCTGCCACATTGTAACATACATGAAAGACCTTGGCAGAAGCCAGAGTCATGCCCTTGAACTTCTCAGCCTGCAGAACATGAGCTAAGTGTATCTCTTTTCTTTATAAATTGCCCAGAGATATTATTTTATAGCAACACAAAATGAACTAATACACACCCCTAGCAAGCTAATACAAATAATATTAAGATTTTTCTATTTCATTCTCTATCGTTTCCTCTCTCTCTACCTCCCGCAAATGATTTTAAAGCAACTTCCAAGCATTATTTCATTTCACTCCCTAAATATCTTTAGTATGTGTTTCATTAAAATGTGGAAATTTTCTTGTATAACTCCAAAGCCATTATCCCATATAACAAAATTATTAAACACTCTTATTGTAATATACAGTTGACCCTTAAACAACATGGGTTTGAACTGCATGAGTTCAGTTACACATGATTGTTACACATGGGTGCCTTTGCCACCCCTGAGACAGCAAGACTGCTTCTCCCTCCTTCTCAGCCTATTCAACCTCAAGACAATGAGGATAAAGACCTTTATGATGATCCACTTCCACTTAATGAATAGTAAATATACTTTCTTTCTTATGATTTTCTTATAACATTTTTCTCTAGCTTACTTAATTGTGAGAATATAATACATATAACATACAAAATATGTGTTAATCGACCATTTATGTTATTGCTAAAGCTTCCAGTCAACAGTAGGCTATTAGAAGTTAAGTTTTGGAGGAGTTAATGTTATATGCTAGTTTTCAACTGTGCGAGGGTCGGCACCCCTAACCCTTGCATTGCTCAGGAGTCAAGTGTAATACATACTCAAAATTTCCCAAGTGTCTCAAAATTTTTTTTTCTTAACTGTTAATTAGTTTGAATCAGGATCCAAACAAGGTCCACACATTACATTTGGTTGTTACATCCATTGATTCTTTTTGAATCTATAGCAATATCACTTCCCCCCTTTTTATGCCCTAAGTAAATCAATTGAAGAAACTGGGTCAATTGTTCTCTGGAATGTTTCATGTTCTACATTTGTCTGCTTGCTTCATTGTGTCATTTAATTTGTTCTTCTATTCCTCATATTTCTTGATAAGATTCACTTATTTGTTAAAGGTATGTCATGGTTGATGCTGGGTACTTCATATTGAATCAGAGGCACATGTCTGGTTCTTTCATTTTTTTGTGATTCTAAGATTGATCAGTGTGTTTAGGTGAGGAATATCAAAGTGTTTGAAATTATTCCTCATAAAAGTTTGTAAATTTCTTATATATTCGCTCCTATGTATGTAATCTTTTTGGTTGCTTTTTAAAGTGAGATCTTCCCTGCCATTGTATCTTCTAATTGACAGTTGTTTGCATATGTGAAAGGAATTTATTTTTAGACATTAATTTTATATTTTACTAACCATACTAAATTTTGTTAAATGTTTGCAGTAGTTCTTTACTTGATTCTTTGGTTTTCAGGTAGAAGACAATTCTATTATATGTGAGTAAAAATGTTTTTATTGCTTCCTTTCCAATTCTAATAATAATAATTTTTTTCCTATTGTCTAGTTGGGGTAGCTAATACCTTCCATGCAATGTTACATCATAGTGGCAAGAATGAGCATCCTTTTTTCCCTCTTGACTATAGTGGGAAAACTCCCAGTACTTCCACATTAAGTAAAACAGTGGCTTTTGAAGAAAACCTTTAAAAAACCACATTTAAACTTGATTAGGCAAAAAGCCCAAACACCACCATTTGTCTATATTGAGCCAACTTATTCTATATCACTA